AGTTTTTCTAACCTGAACATGTCGGCTGCAGCTTCCTGCTGATGTTCATGACGAATCAGGATGTGAAGAAGTTTTGACTCATGACTGAAACGATTAATCAGATAAAAAAGAGCATTTTTCATTTAACCACTTAACCTCTTTAGAAATATCAGAATTAGATTAAAAATGGCAAATAAATACATTAATTACATTTTTAAATGAAAAAATAAACATTTTATTGCCTAAAATGCAGGAACAGTGTTTCTTTAGTGAACAATCACTTGTAGCAAAGGATGCAGCTAAAAAAATCAAAAGCTTTTTGTTTGAACATCAGTTCAGTGTAGAATTGATCTGTTGATTATTTATTGATCAATCTATTAATGATTGACAGATTTTTTTTTTTTACAGAATCTGAACCAGGTGAAGCTGAAACTGATTTTTTTTCCTCCTAAATGTAAAATCTACAGTTTTGTCATATCTGCAGCTCTGATTATTTATCCTCCAGTTAACGATTAATCGGTTATAAATTCGTTGACGATTGTTTCAAAAATCAATTAATCATTAATAATCCGATTAATTTGTTCAGAACCTGTTGAAACCAGCAGCTCTGTGGATGAGTCCCAGTTTGCACTGGTCAGGATCCATCACAGTGATGGGGAGCCGATCATGGACCCGTTTGGTCCAAACCAACAGATGGTTCTGATGGAAATGTTTCACCTGATGAGGAGAAACCAGAGCCTCTGTTTGGATCCTGGTCTTAATAAAACCAACAAGCTGCAGCAGGAAGGCTGATGAAACTCTGCCGGGTTTGGATCCAGAACCGGCCCGGATCCAGCAGGGAAACCGGTGAGGTTCCTGAGGACAGACGGGACATCGACGCTCTGCTTCAGTTTCAGGCTGACCTGAGATCAGCTGACCGATACCAGCCGGTCCATCAGTTCCATCGAAACACTCAGAACCAAACGATCCAAACGTCACCATGGAGACGACGATGCTACACAACCAGGCTGCCTCTGCGCTGCAGGTTAATCCAAAAACGCTTCATTAAAGATTCAGGAGGTTTGATCAGAGCAGCTGGAAGACGGACATGCTTTCTGCTGTTAGCTTAGCATAAACCACACGAACCCAGCAACAGACATGCATTCTGCTGTTAGCTTAGCATAAACCACACCAACCCAGCAACAGACATGCATTCTGCTGTTAGCTTAGCATAAATCACACCAACCCAGCAACAGACATGCATTCTGCTGTTAGCTTAGCATAAACCACACAAACCCAGAAACAGACATGCATTCTGCAGTTAGCTTAGCATACACCACACCAACCCAGCAACAGACATGCATTCTGCTGTTAGCTTAGCATAAACCACACCAACCCAACAACAGACATGCATTCTGCTGTTAGCTTAGCATAAACCACATGAACCCAGCAGCATCTCAGAGACGGAGGAACCAGCAGCAGATCAGGGAGGAGAGGATGAACCACCTGCTGACCAAAACATGGACTGACAGGAGAGCAGCAGCCCAGAGGGTCATGGTAATTCTGGAGGAGCTGCAGAGATCCACAGCTCAGGTAGGAGCTGCAGCGAGAGACTCAAGTCAGAGGAGACCGAACTGTAGGCTTTTCCACATTCAGAAACTATTTCAGGGTTGATGGGAAGAAAGAGTGAAATCCAGGATGAACCTGAGACTGGAGCAGAGCTTCACCATACAGAAGTGGCCTAGTTAAAGGCTAGATCTACATCCAGCTTTTACTCAGCCCTGTTTTTCATCCCATGGAGTTAATATTAATTTAAAAGCTGATAAAGAGAAAAGACAAGGCGATCTGGAGGTTTTTCCCTCCTGATTCAGTTTCTGAACACCGAAGCTTCTCTCTCTCCACCCCGTCTCTGCAGACCTGAAACGGTCTGTAAACAATCTGCTGAGGCGGCGGTTACTATAGCAACAGTGCAGCGTTGGAGAAGTTGTAGCTTCAGGGACGAGTTTGAAACTCCCCAGATGAAGATGAAGATGTGAGGAAGATTTATCAGCAATGAACAGCAGGTTGACAGGAAACTGAGTTCAGTCAGATTCCTGAAAACACAGTGGTGTGTGTGTGTGTGTGTGTGTGTGTGTGTGTGTGTGTGTGTGTGGGATGAGATAGCAGGTGGATGTGGCTGGCTCAGCACTCTGTGGTATTTACTAATTACAGGACATGCAGAGGTCACGGCCCCTGTAATTACAGCCTCTGATTGGCTGGCCTGCATGCCAGCAGCCAATCAGCTGCCATCAGGAAATTACAAGCCTGGATAGCAGTGAGATACAATGTTTGTTTTCTTTGTTAAAAAAATAATATTTTTAAAAGCCTGATCCTGAGTAACGACTGATTCATGTTTCTCAGATTTGTCGGATAAGAAGAGCGATCTGCGCGTGTGCGACGCCGGAACGTGTCGCTTCGGAGGAACCTGCCGCGAAAACGGTGCCGACATCAAATGTGTCTGTCAGTTCCACGTGAGTCCCACCCACAGCAGCACAGACAGCGCCCCCTGCTGGCAGCGGAGGGTTAAACAGCCATCCTGATGTTTTCATTCGGTTCTGAAATCTTCTCGTTTCCTGTTTCAGTGCAATAAGAAGTACGTTCCCGTGTGCGGCTCCAACGGAGACACGTACCAGAACGAGTGCTTCCTCCGCAGAGCCGCCTGCAAGAAGCAGAGAGCCATCAGCATTGTGTCGGAGGGAGCCTGTTACCACGGTAACACTCATCCTCTCACATCCAGCACTTAAACTGGAAGGTTTTGCCTGAAATTACACTCTTCCTAAATTATTCATGAACCTGATCATCGGCTTTCTGCTGCCAAGTCGATCCTTTTCTCTGCGGCTTCAGAAAGTCCAGTCAGGGAAACGGGCCGAAGCTCAACGATTAATTATCACACCTCACACAGCTTCTTATTTTAATAAAATAAAACTACAAAGATCTTAAATTTAGATAAGTTCTATGAAGCCAGATCTACTAAAATAAAATCATCTGATTGTTTTCATTCTCCTGATAAAAACATTTTTACTTTTTTGGACTGAAGATGCAAAAAAAGTCAAGAGATTTTATAGCCAGATGGGAAGAAATGAGCAAAATTCAAAATGTAAAAAATAGATGGATGATGGATGGATGGATTGATGGATTGATGGATTGATGGATGGATTGATGGATGGATGGATTGATGGATGGATGATGGATTGATGGATGGATTGATGGATGGATTGATGGATTGATGGATGATGGATGATGGATGGATTGATGGATGGATGGATTGATGGATG